ATTCGATTTTTATGATCTTTATGCGGTTGGATTCAGCTCATCGAGAGGATTCTAATGATATGTATTTCATATCTGTAGCATCAATATTGACGGAGTTATTCACGTTTAAAATTTATATTAAATTATAATTATAAAAATCACATGCTTGCGCAAGTTGCGCAGCCATTATTCCTTCATTAAATAACCTACGTAACCTATCGCAACCCAGCCTATTTCTTTGTTCGGCTTTTCTGCCAATTTTAAGTATAGATCGCATGAACGAAATAACCCAAGATTTTACATTTTTAACTTTTAATTCTGAACCAAGCTTTGTAAGATCATCATAAATTTGGACCAACGACACCAAATGCAATAAGTTAAAAGATTCAGCTGCAATTAGCAGCTTTTCACAATACGTTTCCTGATTTCTCCATTGATTTATCCTTTTAGTAGCAGATTCCTTGTCAACTACTTTAATTGTTTCAAATTTTGATAACTTGGCCAATGCAGTAAATATTTCAGTAGTTTTTGATTTTTCTGAGGCAACGAAATGTTCATCATTTGCTAGCAAAATTTCACATAGTTTTCTTCCCTTACTAAACAAAAACATCTGAGTAGAATTTAACTCTTCATTTACAATAGTTTCATTATCATTATTATCATCATGATCACTTTCTCTATCATTTTCTGAAGAAACTGAAACTTCAACACACTTATGCTTACGTTTTTTTGTTAATACTTTTGAAAATGATGTACGTACAGGACCCCGGACATCACATATATAACTCATAACTGATCTGCATGAATTTAGCACTTTTTGCTCCTGCTAAAATAGACCTAATTTGCTAAAAATCAAATTATCACATTTTAAATCTATACTAATTTGCTAAAACTCAAAATATGAGTGTAACTTTTTAGCAAATTGGCATAAATTTCAAAAAAAAATCACATTTTTTGCGATTATCTCAGCATCCAGTGGTCCAATATTTATGCAAACTTTTTTTTTATTTTGTAGCCCTCATCGAGCTCTACAAATTAAAAAAAAATCTGCATAAATCAGATCACTGGATGCTGAGATAATCACAAAAAACTGAAAATAAAAAAAATGTTGCAAAACTAATTGAACGGGGTTTGGCCTGCATTATGCTTAATTTTGGCCGGAATTATACTTAATTTTGGCCAAAATATAACCCGGACCCTGAAACTAATATTTTTAAAAATATTATCAATAAAAGTTAAAAAAAAAGATAAGTTAACTTCAAAAAAAAGTACCAATTTGCTCAAATATAAAATATGACTTTGTAAAATCAACACAATTTGCTAAAACTTATAATTATGACTATTAATTAATTATCAATCAATTTGCTTTATCTAAAATTATGAGTTTAACCTAATTTTGATTGAATTTGCTAAAACTCAAATGTGAGTTATATATGTGATGTCCGGATCCTGTATGTACTACTCGAGATTCATCTGCTACTTCTGAAATTAATGGCTCTGAAGTTGGTGATTCTACTACTACTGCCACTTCCACATTTGGTACTTTTTCTACTGACTTTAATGTAGGTGATTTTACTTGTGATTTTGCTGGTAGCTTTTTTGTTGGTACTTTTGTTGATAGAGGTAGATTCAATCTGGTACTTTTATTAGATTCAGTACTTTTATCAGCTGCCAGTGGCGATTGTGAATGTGGATTTAATTCAGTACTTTTATTAACTTTGGTACTTTCATCAGCTGCTAGTGGTGATTGTGAAAGTGGATTCAATTTGATACTTGCTAATAGTGTTTGCGAAGGTGATTTTAATTTGGAACTTTCATGATTACTTGATTCCTCACTTATAGGCTGAGAATCATTAACCTCATCTTCAACAAAACCTATAAAATTTAGATGTGAATAATTATTTTGTAATCAAGAATAATTTTATTTGATAAATTTTACTTACAGAAGTTATTAATTTTTACTATCTGTTTATCAATATCATCATAATAATTTCGCATCATGTTCCAGTTGCGGTAACCTGACAATGTTGTTTTGGCCCATGTTATATTTGAAATGGTAGCGTTATTTTTTATGCAATTTTAGCTGCCAAATTTTTCAATGCAATGATTATTTAGATTTGACCAAATTTTTGACGGTGTATCAAGAGTTGTGAGGTGATTTAAAGCTAAATCACAATTTAGAGCACGGGCAAGTTCTGAGTCGTTAATTTTATGATATAATGTTGAGTAGGAAGTTGATGTTATGGATTCAGGTAAATGTTCAGGTGTTGAATACTGTAACAATTGTTTTAATGGTTCATCCATATCTGAAATTATAGTATCAGCTGTACCAATACTAACTGGATGCGTATTTTCTGGCGTTACTAATCCAAGATTAGAGTATTCGTTCTATTATCAAAAATTAAGTAATAAAAAAAGTAAGATATAAATTTTATAAATTAAAAACCAAACATCATTCTTATAATTTATATTTGCCTGTAATTTAGCATTATTATTCAATACTGAATCATATTTACTTTTGTATAATTTATATAGATTCTTGTAATTCTCGAGTTCAGTCAAACTATCCTAAAAAAATAAAATATTTTATTCAGAAAAAATGTAATTGTTCTAATACCAAGGGAAAAATGGACAAAATTGTCCAAAAATAAAAAAAAAAGTGGACAAAGTTGTCCAGAAATGAAAAAAAAAGTGGACAGAGGTGAATGACCAAGAACAAAAAAAAGTGGACAAAATTGTCCAAACCCGTAAAAAAGTGATCAAACCCAATAAAAAAGTGGACAAAGTTGTCAAGAAATGAAAAAAAAGTGGACAGAGATGAATGACCAAGAACGAAAAAAAGTGGACAAATTTGTCCAAACCTGTAAAAAAGTGACCAAACCCGATAAAAAAGTGGACAACACCAGAAAATTTGTTTAGGCGTAATTTAGTGTAATATTTTGAAGGTGGTATAAAATTTCGAAATATTACACTAAAAACGTAATATTACAAAAGTTTATGCTCTTAAATTTAAATAATTATAGTAATTTAAGAATATCTTGCTATCTACTGATCCAATCAAGATGATCTATAGCTCATTGAAATCAGCTTATCAAGACAAATCGAATGGTAGTAAAATCACATCTTTATATTCGATAGATGGCTTTTTATTAATTTAAAACTTTATTGTATACTATATAGCATTCTATCAACTGTAAAAATGCGATTTTACTACCATTCGATTTGTCTTGATGAGCTGATTCCAATAAGCTATAGATCATCTTGATTGGATCAGTAGATAGCGAGATATTCTTAAATTACTATAATTATTTAAATTTAAGAACGTAAACTTTTGTAATATTACGTTTTTAGTGTAATATTTCAAAATTTTACACCACCTTCGAAATATTACACTAAATTACGCCTAAACAAATTTCCTGATGAAAGTTATTTAGAAATGAAAAAAAAAGTAAACAGAGATCAGAAATAAATAATCAAGAATGAAAAAAAGTGGACAAAATTGTCCAAACCTATAGAAAAGTGACCAAATCCAACAAAAAAGTGAACAAAATTGTCCAAAAATAAAAAAAAAAGTGGACAAAATTGTTCAGAAATGAAAAAAAATGGATAGAAATGAATGACCAAGAACGAAAAAAATTGGACAAAATTGTTCAAACCCGTAAAAAGTGATCAAACCTGATAAAAAAGTGGACAAAATTGTCCAAACCCGATAAAAAAGTGGACAAAATTGTTTAGACCTGATAAAAAAGTGGACAAAATTATCCAAAATGAAAAAAAGTGGACAAAGTTGTCTAAAAACGAGGAAATCTTATACCTTATTGATGAACGTAAAACTTGATGACAACTTTTTTAAGTCAATATACGTGCGACCTTCATTCTTCTTAAATATTATTCTCACTTTATCTTGTTCAAAAACACACGAATCAATTTTTTATTTGTTACTGTCCAAATATGTGAAAGCACTGTTGAAACTGAATTTTCAACATTGTCAGGTAAAAAAGCTTTTTTTTCACGAATCTTTGAATTAAGAATAGCGGAAGGTGTTTTTGACATATTAAAACAAAAAAATACTTGATAATATTTCATGTGAAATCAAGAAGAAAAATATTTTTTTTTTTGATTTTATGATGTGTTTATTTATATTCAATTTTGCCAGCCACATCATTACATCACAAAAAAATGATGATCTGCAGCCAATCATTATTTCAACAATTTCACCAATTTCGACTTGACGAATTTATTTCAGCTTTTTACCATTTTGATTTGCATTGACGAATTGTTTGTTTTTTTTCAATATTTTTGACATGTCAAAATTCTTTATTTACGACATGCATCTTTATACTCGACGGTCCATGTGGCTCTTAGAAAAGATATGTAGAAGGACTTCAATACCTTCTATTATTTTTTTATTATCCAGAAGGCAACTAAACTTCAGGGCTTTATATCGGAAGAATAACTCCTTCACATTCTCAGCTTTCAGAGTTTCAGTCTTTGCAGTCCTACCCTGTACTTTTGCTAAGAAGTCCTGAAAGTCTCCTCCCAAGATCTTACCAGAGAGTCCATAAGCTTTCCGAAAGACGTATTTAATCCAGGTATCTGCATTCTTGGCTAAGACACCAGGTATAAGTAAATGTTTACATTCTTTAGGGGATGGAAATACCTGAGCAAACTCGATCAAGTATCCATCCTTTTTTATTTCAGATACAGCCTTCTGTCCATATGGACTGAACTTTAATCGAACTACAATCGAATTGAGTTCAGACTCAGATCGAACTGGGTTCAAATTTGGATTGAACTGAGATTGAACTGAGATTGAACTAGGATCGAACTGAGATTGCTCTGTGATCGAACTGAGACTAGTATCCCATCTAACCTGGATTGATAGTGGGTCACTCTTAGATCTTTTGAGATCAAACACTACAAATTCACGTTGCAGAGTAAGATCATCAATTACTGGAGTTAATGACTCATATTCTTCTGTATATTGGCAGATGATCCTCTTGATATCTATAAAGCTTCTATGACTTCCATGCAGGGAGATATAATTCACATTTTCACGAATAGCCTTAGGAATGGCAAAGAATCTCTAAGCTACATAGATGCATAAGNGGGAGATATAATTCACATTTTCACGAATAGCCTTAGGAATGGCAAAGAATCTCTAAGCTACATAGATGCATAAGATGTTCTTGTATCGTCCATATGTGAAGTATCTGGTAATAAGATCCTGTGTTTTTTTAGGTGCATTCATCAAATCCTCAAAGATTATTACAGTTGCTTGAGATGAATCAAAGGAGTTAATCTCTGGAATCTCACTATGGATTACTGCAGTGAATAGGATTTCTTCTTCTTCGAAAAAATCATGTACAACTATCTACTTTGGCTCATCAAAATATATACTAACTAAAAGTACTGCATCACATAGTACATACTGATTGCCATCCGCTTTTGCTTTCTTATCACCCATTAATAAGTTAATGATCATAGTTGTCTTATTTAAGTCAGAACTTCCTGCTACGGCTAATCAAAAGGGCCATAATGGAGCAAACTCATTGCTTTGTCTTGAGTCAGTCATGTACTTGTCTAAATTGTATACATAGAGATCCATTTGAATTTCATTCTAATTTAGTTTAAATATGATGTAGACATCAACACTAATTCCAGTTTATACTCCTTCAGAACCTACTGGACCGTCTTCTGCACACTTGGCCAATGAAGAAGATGATGATGAATTAGTTAGAATACTAAAGGCTCATGCAAATTTATTAATTACCAGGGGTCGTTTAACTGTTGATTCAGAGATACAGGAGGCAAATAATCAAATCAAACATATTATTAATATATTAATGCAACGCTGTAAAGCAAAACATGAAGAACTTGGTATTACAAAAGATTTGTTAGTTTTTGCACAGAATCAGATAAATAAATTTGATGAAACATAGAACGACAATTAATTATTATACGTGCTGCCAATGATAATTTTATAGAAGAAAACCATAACCTGCAAAGAGATTATGATACTATGGTAAAGCTTCGTAGATGGGCTATAGGTGAACGTAATCAGGCATGACATTAATGTAATATATTACAAGCAGATTATACTCAAGCAGTAAGGGATCGTAATGAGGCTCAAAATGCTGTGAATCGTGATAATATCCTTCTGAATCATTGGTGGCTAAGGGCTACTCAGACTGGAAAACAACTTGTATTGGCTAATACGCAACTTGGACAGGTTAATGCACAACTAGCTAGAGGTAGGCTCTGAATCTGATCAATCCGGTCATCTTAGGATCAATCTGTCAAATAGATGAATTCAGATTAATCAAATGAATCCGTTAAATAGACCTGATGGATGACTGGATTCTATACGGAATTGACAAAAAAATTTCCTTTTTAGAAAATTTTATGTTACATAACCGGAAACTAAATTTAGAAAAACTGGTTTTTTGTGAAATGGATATCACCAAAAATTGATATGATCGATATATCTGTGCGTCATGTGACAACAATTAAATACCTAATCATAAATTCTGGCTGAAATTAAATGATTGGTGAAAATTTCCTTTTTAAAATTCTTGTGAAACCCAAAATTTCATTTTTTGTTGGGAAACAAAATTGCCTTTTTTGGATTTATGTAACATTACCCATACCTTAAAAAGGATAACTCCATGCCGATTATTTAATTTCGGCCAGAATTATAATCAATCCGGTCAAACTGCAGATAATCTGATGATCTGATTTTTTTAATCCGGATTGATCCATTACGTGATCATCTAGATGACAGATTGACCAGATTCATCCAGAGCGCACCTCTACAACTAGAGATGTGATCTGGATGAAATTTTACAATCCGTGATCCGCACGGATCAATCCGGATTATCATAGGATTAAATTCAGATAATCCGGATTAACTTCAAATTTTGGGTATCTCAGCATCTAATGATCGTATAGAAATGCACTATAGCTCATTCAAATTATTGCATTGAGACGATTCGAATGAGCTATAGTACATCTCTGTACTATCACTAGATTATACATGCTGCCCAAATTATTTTGGGATGCCATAATTATAATTTGGGATGCCATAATTCATTTGGTTTATATATAATTTACTATGTAAAGTGCCAAAATAATTTGGGATGCCATAATTGAATTTGGGTTTTACTTATAATTACGGCAGTCCAAAATAATTTGGGTGGCATGTATACACTGGATTATACATGTTGCCAAAACTCGGCAATTTCGGCATAATTTCAGGATTCGACCTTCGGCCAATCATTCCAAAATGAAACTCTGGTCGAAAGTCGAAAACTGAGCTGAAATTTTCTGGCCAGCATTATTGAATTTCGGCCCGCATTACAAGTTTGTGTAATATTTATGTAACACACAAAATTCCATCAGAGCGAAATTTTCCTTGTGTAACATTCTTATCTGGTGGCTAAACTTTTATCCGAAGTCACACATGCATAATTCTGGCCGGCATTACAATGTTAGCTAGAATTACAAAAACTTTAAGAGTCCCCATTAAAAAAAAATAATATTTCGGACCACGTAATAAAGATTTCGTCCAGATTTTCGTACTCCGACTACAATTTCAGATTTCAGCTTGATTTTTGAATTTCGGCTGAGGTTTCGGATCTAAGTTTTGGCCTTTCGGATTTGGCCATAATTTTGGAAAGTTGCGACAACATGTATACACTGGATGCCGAGATAATTGGCAAAACGTGAAACATCAGCATTTTTATTTTACGATTATGCAAAATTTTACGTTTTACCAAATATTTCGGCATCTAGTGATCGTACAGAGATGCACAATAGCTCATTCGAATCGTCTCAGTGCAACGATTCGAATGAGCTATTGTGCATCCCTGCATGATCACTGGATGCCGAGATATACGGCAAAACGTAAAATTTTGCATAATTGTAAAATAAAAATGCCGATATTTGACGTTTTGCCAAATATCTTGGCATCCAGTGATCGTACAGAGATGCACAATAGCTCATTCAAATCGTCTCATTACGACGATTCGAATGAGCGATTGTGCATCTCTGTACGATTATTGGATGCTGTTTTGGATTAAAACGGATATCCTTAATCCATCTGGATGCATCCATTATCCGTTCGGATCGGATGGATTGGCGGATGATCCGAATTTTCAGATTTTGGATCGCATCTCTATCTACAACTAACAAAGTACGTTTTGGGATTCAGACATTGGGACGTCTTAGGAATAGACTTTTTCAACAGATAGCTGCTCTTAGAATTCAAGTACAATGGTTTCGGATTAGACAATTGAACCCTCCTCCACTTCCTCCTAACAATCCACAAAATACGATATGACTGCCATTGGTATAGCTGCTCCCATATTTCATGGCGAGAGGATAAAGACCTTAATCTTTTTATTGATAACTTTTTAGGGTATATTAATACCGTTGGTATTAATCCAATGCCAGTGCGCCTTCTGGTCGAGTGAGAGCAATAAGGGTTCTTCGTAGCTGTATGAGAGATGAAGCGGCAAGGTGGTTTGAAGGTAGATCTATAAATTGTACTGTACAGTCAGCTAAACTGTACTGTACGGTAAGTTTTTAACTAAAGTTCATACAGTACAGTACAGTACTATAATAAGCGCTATACTGTACTGTACAAAATTTTATCCAAATTTACCGTACAGTACAGTTATTGAAGTCACGTGATTTGTAATTTCATGTGACTTATATTAGCTTATTGTAATTAATCGCACGCATTTTTTGTGTACTTGTATTTATAGTAAAAATAAAATTAATCGCATATATTTATTTCTTAATAAACTTATTTACAATTTATTATTTATTATTTGGTTATTTATTTATTATAAATCATTTTTCAAAACTTAAGTTTATTACTGTAATTTTGCGCCAAAATTTTTAATTTTTAAGAAAAAAAGCGCAAAAAAAGTAACAGAAAAATTACTAAAAAAATTTCTCCCACCCAATCTTTTCTCCTTTACGATCTCCCTAATAATAAATTTACTAAAAAATAATTCAACTTTTCATCTTTCCTGCACATTTAGTTACATGATCATCAGAATACTATGTTCCCTTTATTCCTATTGTAGATATATTTTATTATTAGTTAGTGAATAAATAATATAAAAAACCAAATGTAATATATAAAATTTCACAAATTTAACAGTTGATTTCACTTTTCAATTAATGCAATTTCTCTTTCAATTTCATTATTCCTTTGTTTTTGAATATTCAACAAATCATACTTCAAATTATTTACTTTTTGACGTTACTCAATATGCTGGTTTTTATCTAAATCATCTAAATCAATAATTTCAGTTATATTTTCCTTATTATGGCAATTATTTTTTCGCTTCTTTGCCGTATTTGAAAGCTGTTTACTACCTTTACGCCTTTTTTCTAAAATAATTAAACTAAAATATAACAAACATTACAGAATAGTAGTAAATAACAAGATTTTCAATAAATTTACCTGCACGTTTTTCTGATTGTATTGACTGTGCAAGTTCTGACTTATTTCGATAAGTGTCTGGAACATTATATTTTTCATAAACGTCAGTGCTTTCCCACTGCCTTTTATCAAAATCACGTCCTCTTAAAACAAAAAATAGATAAGTAAAATTATATTTTTTTATGTAAAATATAAAAATAGTTACCTAACTATTCTTGCAATAAAGGAAAGATTGCGTTCATCGCGATTTACATTGGCATGGGCACTTTCTCCAGCATTGGTATTATTTGGTGTTTGACTCCAGATAACATGATCCATTTTGCTAAACACACTTGATATTCCTGACAAAACCCACAGAGTAAGTTTATCTTTAACCCATGCTATAAAAAATTGAATATGTTTTTTAATATCTATATAAATTAACAAATTAAATTGCAATAATTATAATTTAATTACCTGTTGTTCCTGGTTTATCACAATCACGAATTTTATGCAATATTTTTAAAACTTCATTTTGAGTATTTAAATTAGGAACTATATACATCGCGCTACGAATTTCACTTGACAATGCTTTATTTTTGTTAATATTCCTATAAAATATTATCATATAATCGTACTAATTATATAGTTTTAATTATAAATAAGATAAATATATTTATTTACCATTTGTTATACACCTAACAGAGCTTGTAGATATGTTGTAAATGTTCAATAGGAGTTAAATGTGGATATTTTGAATTTAAATATTGACCCAATCCTATTAAAAAAAGTTAATTTAAAATAAAATTTTTAAATAATTTGAAATAGATAATATTTTAATTTCACCTAGAGCTTGTCCTTTATGTTAGTCTGCAATAATGCAGCCTAATCCTTCGCTATAAATATGATAAAAATTAAAAGTTTTGCCTATATCTCTTTCTATGCATCCAAGCAAATCTTCAAATAAATTTTGGTATGCTTCAGCCGTTTCAATATTTGTAAATATTTGAGCAAAAGTCAAAGCTTCATATAATAATTAACAATAAAAAACTAAATAAAAGGTTTTATTAAATAAATGACCAAAATTCAGTAATTATACTTACTTTTCTGTACTCGAGGTAAATATGCTGTTACTTCCCATTCATTTGTGATACCATGAATTCTTTTAAACGCCATATCAATTTCAATATGTGTCAATTCAGAAAGTGCTATTGTTTGTTCTTTAGTAGCACATAAAATAATGTATTGACCATTATCAAGAAATCCTAAATGCAACAAATTAAGTTATTGTATTAATTTATGACATTTAATGTATATAATAAATTAATAAACTTACGAATTGATCGAATATATGGATCTGCACTCATATTATATTTCATAAATTTATGTACGACACCCAAAACATTTTGACTAAATGGATATTGGGAACGCTGACTTTTTTCAATAAAATAATCAATTTTGGATTGATTATTTAATGAGGGATGCAAATCACTTAACATTTTTCCATTTAAATATGTTTGAATCATAGTTCCTACAAATAATTTTATATTATATTAATTGAATTATACAAATATTATATATTATATAAATTACAATTATATTTATTTAACTTACCAGTTAGAAATTTCCTTCTAGTTAAATCAAGTATATGCTCACTATCAATTATTTTTTGAAGTTGATTTCTTATATTATATGGAGTTTTTCGAGGTGGTGGAGGTGAATGATTATGCTTACCTACCGATATAGTCACAATAAATGAACATTCTTTCAAATTTTCTGGAATTATATGATAAAATATGACTGGGCATATACTAGCTTTTTTACTTATAACACCTTTAACAATATGGTTTCCTATTTTATGTAAAAATGCTTAAAAATAATAAATATAATATATTAATTAATATTTGTCTTAATTTCGTTAAAAATATGCAGTATTATTAATAAATAATTTAGTACTTACGACATGCATCAGATCGTGCATTATTAGGTCGTACCATAAAATATTTATCTACTGCTTTAGCTTCATCATTCTGCATTTAAATGAAAATATTAATTGGCTTGTTATTTACATAAAATTTTAAAATAACTTTACAATTACCTCAAAATCAATACCATGAGGATGATAGGAATGCTCATTAAACATCATTTCCAATAATTCAAGATCAACATTAGGCAGAATTGTTAGGAACTGATAGTTTTTTTCTTTAGGCTTCCATTTAGTACAACCAATAAACTTTTTCTTCGTATTATTCACCTATAAATAACAAATTAACAGTTTAATACGATTTTTTGTTAAAATGTATTATATACTATATTATACGTACTTGTACTAATTCACCTAATTTTGGTTTACCGTTATATTTCACTCCATTTTCATTTATATACCCACAACTATATTCATGTGCTTTGGCAAATATACTACACAAATAATATTAAACAGTTATGTAGTTAAAAAAAAGACTGTAAATTAAATAAATATTAATTTTACTAACCAAATTGTTGCTTTTTCGTGAAATTTTTCATTAGCATCAAACATATTTTTGAAGATAGGTTGAGTAAAATCAACAGATGTATGTCCAGTATCTAATTCTTTAGATGCAAATTCACATACTTTCACATTGAGACATTGTCTTTGCTCTTTAGACACCTTAATACCTGGGAAAAAGTCACAATTTCCTACTTTACAGGTTGTCCCAGTACCTCCATATGAATATTGTATATTTGTCATAGAAAACGCTTCTCGTGCTTCACTTTGTTTCCATCCTAATACATTATATACACTTGCGAATCCAGTTTCGGACGTGTTGGGATATTCTTGAAATTCTAAATAATACTGAATTTCGGATGCTGTTAAATATTTACCGAATATAGCAATATTTTGAGTAGGCCACTATTTAAGTAAAATAAATGACAAATAATTAATAATTAAATATAAATAATGCCAAAAACAGTTTTATTTTTGCATTTTTTCAAAATTAAAAGCATAACAAAAGCTGCTTTTAAAACAATTTTAGTATTTATTCACAACTTTATGCATTTTATTTTAAGGTTAAATACCAAAATTGGACCTATATGAGTATTAAAGCTCCGAACGGTTCCAGTTTGAACCGGGAACCAATCCGGAACTGGCAAAAAATTCGGTTCGGTTCTCGGTTCGGTTTTGGACTTGGAACCGTCCAGTTCGGTTCGGTTCTATCCGAAATTAAGAAAAAATGCGAAAAAACGAATATACGACTATCCAGTGATCGTACAAGGACGAGCCATAGCTCATTGGATTCGTCTCACTGAGACGAGTCGAATGGTGGTAAAATCAAGTCTCTATCATCGATAGATCGTGAGATAGCCCATGGTGAGTGTTTCTTAAACAATTCGCATTAGAAAACGATCTATCGATGCTAGTGACATCATTTTACCACCATTCGACTCGTCTCAGTGAGACGAATCCAATGAGCTATGGCTCGTCCTTGTACGATCACTGGATAGTCGTATATTCGTTTTTTCGCATTTTTTCTTAATTTCGGATAGAACCGAACCGAACCGGACGGTTCCGGTTCGGTTCCATTTCGGTTTTCGGTTCTACCCGAACTGCAAAAAAACCGAACCGAACCGACCCGTTCAGAGCTTTAATGAGTATATCGGTATATGCTGATTTTAACACCTGTTAAAATACTATTTATATCTAAAAATAAAATACCTCTTCAATAATTTCTTGGTTTTCTACAGGACTTTCTGCCATTTCTATAAAGGATTATTTAAGAAATCTGTGTAGTACTTGTAAGCCTTTGTCAATCTTTGACACGTTATTCAAAAGAAAACAAAAAAAAATTTTTTTTTTTTTACTTCGCAAAATACGAAATTGATCAAAATTGATCAGATCATCAGTCGTCAGCTATACTGTACGAACTGTCGTACAATCACACAAATTATGTAATGTACAGTACAGTTTAGCTGATCGTACAGTACAATTTATATGTATACTCATGGTTTGATGCTGAACTTACTGAAAAAAATTGGGAACTTTCGAGTATTCGGTTAGTAGCTGCTGCAAATGGTGGAGCTAATGCTACTTGACGAGCATTTAGAGCTTTGACTATTTCTGAAGTTGCTAATGGAATACATGTTGGTACTTACTTATCTGGATCTGATGCTGCTACATATGCAGAGATTGCAGGTAATGCAGCAATAACTGTTTAGGCAGTATTTTTACCTTCATGTGCTGATGTTGTTAGAACTAATTTTAAAGTCAAAGAGCAGTGGAGACGTGCAAGTAAACATCCTACTAATCGACCTGTTAATGGGTTGGGAAATCATGGAGGTCCATTTAATGCTGCTGTTCAGAATCAGCCTATAGTTTTACATGGAATTCTTCTAGATCAAGCATTCATGCATATGTGTACAAATTTTCTAATCGTCATGAAAGAAAGACTTCAGATACGATTTAGTAATCTTTACCAGGAATAAGGTAAACCTATTTGATCTTTCTATAAACGAGTTGAGAGGGCTGGGGATATTGTAGGATATAATCAAATCATGATTTCTCACCAGTTTTATAGAGGACTTTTACCAGAAAATGTTATTGAAGCTTCTAGAATTGGGGCATGCCTTTTGATGTTTTACTTGATAGATTGAGTAATCTTATGAGACGAAAGGGTGAAATATTCTATGGGTTACAAAGACGTTAAGGTATTGAAAAAGCTAAAAAAGAGGAATTGACTGGCTATACTCATTTTATAACTCCATATGAAGGTGCTGTAATATAAAGGTCGACAGATGTTATTACTCAAGAACGATTACAAGAAATGCTTAAGGCTCAGGCTGAGGAACTTACTAAAAATTTCCAGGTACAGTTTAAGCAATTACAAGTATCTAAGCCAGTTCATAAGCCACCAGTCTATAGACAACAGATTAAACATGTTCAACCGAAGCCACAGCCACGCGTTATCTAACAAGAGGATTATGATTATGATGATGGTTATGTAGAACCTGATGTTGGTGATGATCCTGATGCTCCTAAATGGACTTGGGAGGATGATCAACATGTTATTGATCTTATTATGGGATATGAGACGTCTAAAAGACTTCCAAAGCGACTTCAGAAGGCTAAAAATAGACGTGATGATTGGAAATTAGCTCAAGCAATGAGAAACCTTGATCTTAATGATGATGCTATGGACATTGATACTAATACTGCAAGTTTTGATGACTTGAAAATTATTCCAGATGAGGAAGGTGGATTTGTGTTGTTCGAAGTGCAAAAAAAAAGTAGATTCAGGTAAGGGACTAAGTATCTCAAAACTTCTTAAATCTGCTCCAAGTAAGACAACAGTTAGCTCTCCTGGAGCACCCTTAAGGAGTAAAGTGACTCCTGTCAAGATTCCTGCAAAGATTACTGCTAAATCTGTACCTGCAAAAGCTGTCACCAAGAATGACCTATTAAGTGTATTAAGATAGATCTACAGATTTTAGAAAATTACTTCGTGAAATTCTTCAGGAGGAGATATTGTCTGCTAGAAAAGTCACAGAGATTTCAGAGGACTTAGCTGAAGAGGAACAAGAAGAGAATATCAGGGAAGACGATCCTATGAATATTGACATAGCTTGTTTGGAGAATACTAAAGATCTTTCTTTTAACACTAGGTGGGGAGGTTAATGGGATAGCAATTCAGTGTTTAGCAGACACTTGTGCTAATGCGTCTTTTATTCAAAGAAAAGCTGCTGAGAAATTAGGGTTGGATATCGACAAGAGTATTACATACAACATATCTGGCACTCCGGAAACAGGTAGGACATTCAGTATGGTAAAAGGAGTTTCAATCAAACTTATCACCGATTGCATTATCACTGAGGACCTTGCAGTCTTAAATGATTACAAGCATAAGTAAATTGAATTGAGCTGAATATGCCTGAAACGTTACAACTATGATGTCCATAAATCACGTGAACATGTCACCCTTACCTGTGGTGGAAAGAATGTTTTTATTCCGATAGTTCCTGATGCTAATTGAGCGGACAAAAAATAGGGAACATTTATTTTTTATTCCCAAAATTTGCGAATTAAGTCAGAAACATCCTCCTCTAACCGGTCAGCAGGTTCCCAAGTAGCCTCAGTGTCTGGATAATGCTCCCACTTAACCAAGTACTGATTTTGACCTTTCCTAATGTGATGCCAAAGTATCTGCTCAGGTACATACCTTTCAGGTTGCCCTCTTATCACGAAATCAGGTGGAGGCTTTTCATTAATAGGAACTACTTGCAATTATATACACATCTGGATATACCTAATCGACTATATGGTCTATTAAGGAAATATATAGTAGGCTGCTCGGGTGAAAGTATCATTTTTTTGATAACATGTATGTTTGAATTCCATCTTATGTCTCCTGTACAGAATTTTCCATGAAGTTTATTACTGAGTACAGAAATAGGTTCATCTAACTTGATTCTGACACATATTCCTTCTATACTTTTCGTTAAAATGACAAAATACTAATTAAATTTATTTTGACAGACGTAATGTATTTTGACAGACGTAATTAATTCATAGTAATTTTATAATAAATAGTGAATTGGTCCGTTCGCCAAAATATGATATAATTAATTAGCGGAGAAGTATAGTTCCTTCAGAGAGAAAGTCCGTCTTTTTTAACACTTTAGGTGACCCTGTTGGAATATCTGAAGGATTTCTTTGCCAGAATTCATCTACTTTATCAACTACATCATGGAAATCTTCTGACCATTCCACAGATGTACCCCGGGTTTTAACTCCTGTGCCACCATAGGACCCCGGATATCTTCAAAACAGGTCATAAGTCACACTTTCGGCAGATTGGCCCATTTTTCAGGGCTCAAAAAATCGTTTTTTGTAAATATCTCGGCATCCAGTGGTCCAATTTTGATGAACATTTTTTTAAATTGTAGAGCTAAATGACTGTCTCTTATACACATCTAAATGTGGATAAGAGACAGGGATTTAGGGAAAGGACTCCAAATAAAAAGTCAAGATGAGTTAATTGGTAAAGAGGGTACGTACAAGAAAAGAACAGGAATAAACAGATTTAAGGTGCCAACGTAAACAACATCTAAAGATAAATTTGTTGATGCCAAATCTGATATCCTNATTTACAAAAAACGATTTTTTGAGTTTCAGCAAAAAGGGGTGTTTTTGGCCAAAAGTCCATTATGACCTTTATATTAGATATCCGGGGTCCTGCCACCATTCATTTGAGAAGAAGTTCTTGAATAGCTTGGATAGCTCGTTCAGCATATGACTACTGTTTATGTCTTCCTGACTCTCCGAACCTCATCATTACCTCTAGGCTGTTCAGAAAAAATCACGTACCTGGTTGTTAGTGAATTCTGATCCAGAGTCTGTCTCCAGTCAGTATGTTGGAGGCTTGATACGATTTCTTCTGTATATTTTAACAAATCCATTTAAAACTCTATTTGCAGTCTTATCCTTCCCTATAAGAAAAAAATATCCATAAGATGTACATAAAACAACTGATAAATAAGCGTCATAATTTAACCATCTTATGTACATCAAATACCTATATTTTAAACATAAAACATACATAAAAATGAGCCCATTTTGAACGAAATATGGACATAATTTTGTCTATTTTATATCCGTTTTATATGCATATTCTTTCCACTTTATGTACGAACTTTGTCATAATTTATCAATTCTATATTTATTATATGATCATATTATTTATTCATTAAACATAATTAAATGTTCAATTATTTATTTATCAAATATATAGTAAAATGTTGCTACTTACAAATATATTAAAAATTTTAAAAAATCAGATTAATGAAAATCAAAATTTCTAATCTTAACCAGGGGGAAAATTCCTCCTTAGTCATGTGATTAGCACATATGTAACTCTGCTGATATAGTCTGATAGTGGCTTTTACCTGAATAAGAAAGTAGAATACAATAATAAAGTTAGTAAAGACATTTGAAAAAAAAAAATTACACATCTCTAAGCCTAACCTTAAGCCTAACCATAATCCCTAACCATAATCCCTAATCCTAACCCTAATCCCAACCCTAACCTAACCCTAACCTAACCCTAACCCTAACCCTAAAGTCTATTTCGGCAAAATTTTAAATTGCCGAATGTTAGACGAAATTCAGTCTGACCTTAGCCGATCAGTACCAAAAAAATTGACAACTAATTATATAGACGATTTGCACCGTAACGCCTGCCATTTGTCAACAAATCGATCAGTAGAAATTGGCAACAAATCGGTAAAATCAAATTGACGATTGTTAATAAACCTAATAATTTATTACCAATTTTTGTACATTTAACTGATTACTGATTTTAATTTTATAATAATTTATTAATTAAATTTTATTAATTCATTTTATTAAAAATTACATATTAAATTAATATATAGCTATCTATCATCTATATACACCATCTACCATCCATCATCTACCCATCATCCTCACCTAACCAGATAAAAATCCGTAGAAAACCTATAAAAAAAAGGAGAAAATAGTTAGTAACCTATTTTTTAAATAAAAAAGTTAAAGCTTCAAAAGAAACTTACCCGATCTAATAAAATCTGAAGGGGAAACTTACAAAAAAAAAGTAAAGAAACGGTTAGTTTGTTTCTTTAATAATAATTAAAAATAAAGTTTTGAAAAATTTGAAACTTACCCGCCCATCCAATAAAGTACGAAGAGTAGGAAACCTACAAAAAAAAAAGAAGAAACAATTAGTT